GGCGTTGAATCCGTTGTAGTCGTCAGCGGTGTATTCGACGGTGCGGGTGGAACCATCGGCTTCCAAAAGGCTGTACGATCCTTTGACGTAACCGTTGCCGTCGCTGTATTCGGACTGGCTCTTGACATCGTAGGTGTGTGGGTCGTTTACGCTGTATTCGAAGTTGTATGGTGTGGGTGCGTATGCGGGTTCTGGGGCGTAAGCCTTTGGTGCTRAGTAAGCGGGCGCAGAGTACGCTGGCTTGTAAGCTGGGGCAGAGTATTGGGCGAGTGCGGTGGCCACGCAAGCGGCGAGGATGATGATCTGTAACAAAAAAAGTTTCTTATTTAATAACAATATATATTTTTTCAGTTACCATGTACCTTTTTTTCTTATATTGAAAATCGATATGTATAAAAATGCAAAATAAAATTTTTTTTTATTGACTTACCTTAGCGGCCATTTTATTGTRTTTTTGGTGTTTGGTMAAATTATTCGATGACTGGTACAGAAATAAACTGATGTTTACAGAGACCAGAATTGTGGTATTTATTCAAAATGATAGCCACAACATCCCTTCCATTCAATGTTTATGACATTATATGTACAATTTCCTACCAGCTGTTAGTGTACATTGTCTGAAATCGAAAAATAACCGGTTGGGGCGTAGACGCTTGTGAAGTGCATTTCATTTATATTAAATAATTGTCTTTGAAGTGTAAATATGGATCAAGTTCATTAAAATTATTGATTTAATTTCATAAAGATTGTGGTGAATAGACAATCTTAATATTATGTATCTGTAAAGTATCATAATTATTTTTTGACACACGGAAAAATAAGAAAATTACTTAATGAGGAATCTGGTGAATATCCAACTTCTTAAAAATTTGAACTTCGAATACTCACAAGAATGTATTTGACATTCCGGGAACTTCCTTTTATGGAAGTAGAAAAAACTTACGATAATTTAAAAGGAACTAAAAAACAAAAATTGAAAATGTKTAATTACTAAGGATATTTTCAAATCTATTTAAAAATAAGTGATTATAAAAGTGTCAAAATATTTTGAAAATTTCTTCATGTTCATAATACCTAACGCATTCAAATCCAAACCAAAAATAGAAGCAACTTGGCTCATAGTTCGCAGTTTTAYAATGGTTGAAATCCGATTATAATAGTWTGATATAATATGTAAAACAACTGTTAAATTTTGCATATTTGATCTATCGTCTAAATTCGTAAAGTTTTTGTAATAGAGACTACTTCAAATATTTTTAACACATTTATAATCACTTATTTTTAAATAGATTTGAAAATACATATTAGATAAATTAGTAAATAAGATTTTGAATACAAAAATAATTACCTACTTTATAATATTATATACCAATGCTTACCATTTTTCGCATAGATA